TACCATATACATAGATAGTCATTTCTTATGTAAATATTTACAGCTAGAAAGGTACTGCTCACAACAGTATACAAATTTTGGTGTCCAGATTTTTATGCTGTAAATATTTACATAAGAAGGAACTATCTATTTATTTTAATTTGTGATATTACTTAATTACCTATATTGTTTATGAACAAATCATTTCAAAACTTTTAAAACTTTCCCAATGGGTTCTATAAATAACTTCAGAACTTGATGACGATGTATAGTTTACGCAGATCAGACCGATTAAATTTTTTCAGGTGGAGGACCCCGTAGTTGAACAACATACCAAAGGATGTGGTGGTTATGTCTTAATATCTGCTGATTTCAATGGATGTATCAAAGTTTTTATAAATAAAATGAAACCAAAACACAGTTCTTTACCTGTATCAGCTATGGCATAATCACATACAGATATACGGTTTAAAAGTGTTATGATGTTATAAATATATCCGAGAAATCAAAAGTATATTTTTTAAATTTATTTATTTATTAATTGTTTATATCTCGCTCCCATTACTTTTGTCAGATTATAATGTTTTAGCGATTATTTTAGAGTAAGTTGTGAACTGGATGTGAACAGTAGTGTATAATGAACATTAAAATGTATTGTAGTTCTAACCTCATTTTTCCAATTGAAAATCCCAACGCCAGCTTAAAAATTGAGATAAACATTTTATTCCTGCAATTAATATTTTAAATAAGCAAGAAGCATTTCTGAGGCAGGCAAAAATTCATGCAGAAAAGTTGAATTTTGTCAGAAAATTTAAAAAATATTTGTAAAAACTTGAAAGGGGCATGTATTGATCGTCACTCTTGTTGACTAAAGCTTAAAATTGGCTGGGCATGAAAACAAATTTTGTCCAAAGTGCGCAAATCAGGGAGACATTTTTATGGTTTCTCAAGTTATCCCTAACTTCTTGCGTTAACGCAATTCTATTGGTTAGTTTTAAATTTAACATAAAATTGACGGGTTGAGGTGCCAATGGAAAATCTTGAATTTGAAATGCCCTGTACTTTTCCCTTAATTTGAAAAATATTGTCGGAAATCTAAATTATTTGTATTCTATTACTACTTACTAATTTTGCCAGCAGGATGCCAATAATATTTTAATATTATTTTAAACTAACAATTATAAACTTAAACTTCGGAGTGCTTGGTATTTCCGACGAAAAATTGATCAGCACATTTTAATTAAAACTGAATATATCACACTTTCGCAATAGCTCAATATATAAACACTGAAGTTGGGTCTCTGCACGTAACTAACCTTGTGCAAAAACAAAAAAAGGATTGCTATATGACACGCAGGTTACAACACAATCAGATGCTTATATTTTATTTCTGTTGTAATTATTAATATATCATGTTGTTTACTAATTTTTTATGAAACAATAATATGACTGTAAAGGCTGTTTCTGAGGGAAAACCAAATCCTCCGATGTTTAATTATAATTTTAATACCAAGGTTTGTTTAGAGAAGGTTGTCGCATAAAGGAATTTATGGATTTGTGACGCCACAAAAGTGTGAATGGTCCAGAATGTTAATGTACCCGCAGAAAACACCCATTTCTGATAGGTAGTCAATATGACAGTTATGCTTCAACCTATTCTATATAAAGTAACTTTGCCTTAACTATATGTTTCTACAGTTAGCGATTAACCTCACTTTTCTAAAGGAATAACAATAATTTCACTGTATTATTAGCGAATGTTGGTAAAGGTTTTGGTGCGTCAAATGGTATGCGTAACCTCAAATTAATAGTTTTACTTTTGTTTTTATAGATTTTTTTTTCAGTTTGAAGTTAAAAGTTCAATCGAAAGCAATACATGTTTCAATATTGTTTATTATTCAAGACTCCTAGTTATATAGGTTGGTTCAAATAAAAGAAAAAGTCTTTAGTAACAAGAAATTTGAAACCAACTAAATATCACACCGAAAAGGATTTTCATTCCAAAAAACGTGAAAATGAGGTAAACTTGCTACTTGACAAATATTACAATTCACACATATGGCGAGGCAACAAAATTTATTGCACCACAATTCACAGAATACTGAACTACAGAATACAACAATTTTCTGAAAGTGACTTTTTGCAATAGTGTACCGATGTAAACACTAATACAAACATAATGCGAATGACGGGTCTCACTCTAAACAACCCTGACCCTTTGTGTATGATATGTTGGTCAAGTAGTACTGTAAATGAGGTTATGCAAGTCGTGTGATGCACCAGTTCAGTTTACATTGGGGGTGGGGGGTTGTATCCCTTCCATCTTGTTTTGGCAAGGGACAAGGAGATACGGAACAGACTGTAAGTTTAATAAGTTTCTTTAGTTATATATTAATTTGTAGGGTAATGAATTATTATGGTATGTGTTTGGTCCAAAGCAAAAATAGTTTTATATCTGTAGGTAGTTTATATAATAGTGGCTAACATGTGGTTAAAAATAATTATTTGTGATATATAGGTATATTGATTATCATTATGTTTAGTAATTTCTTTTTATTGTTATCTAATTCCTATGTAGTGGGAGTGAGATGTATTTTATTAATTATTATATTTACTGTACATTGTTTTTATTCTCAGACTTACAACTAATATATTTAACAAATAAATTTATCGTCTTGTTGTGTTGTAAAGATCTCCCGTTCCACTTTTCCCTTTCATTTATCAGAAAAGTATCTGTGTGTATGTCATCTCCTTTTGAGATTACCACCTATCAGATTATTTCCATTTTCATAACACTCGAGCTGCTTGAGCATCTACAAAGTAGGTACTCTCACAATAATGTATGCAGTAACAACGGTTATTCATATTCATGTATATTTTTGAAGAGGACCTGGAAAGTCAATGTCCATTTTAGGTCGATATGGTAGAGTGGAAGGATCGGCTCGCAGTACTGTTTTTGAAAAGCGTATGTAAAATGGGGTTCTGTGTATTTGCGATTAGAGCCCCTTAAAGATCCGTACCCAACGACAAGGTGAGTGATCAGCAAAAATTTCAGGATAACAGTGACAGTATTTACTCAAGCACTATGAGTTTATGTATATTTCCCCCTGTTTTTGCATCTTGTCATTTATCACGGATCAATCACGATATCCTTTCGGTCCGGATTATAAACAAAAAAACATAACCCAATTATATCCAAATTGTCAAAGTGACAGCAAGTTTTAAATTGTGTATACTTTTGTGGTATTTTAAAAACTAAACCCCAGAGTATACCTTAAATATGTTTTCAATTTCTACATTATAGAATAATATATTTCATACATTTTTTTTATAAACATACTTTTTTTTAAACTTTTGACATCTCATGGATTACATTCATTACAACAACAGATTATTTTATTTTTAAACTTCAAACTAAATGAGTGAAGACAGACCAGACAACACTTCTGTAAAATATAAGAAATTTTCGTGATTTTATTGTAAAAAATATGTGGAGCATTTGTTTACACCCAAATTCTTTTATTTGTTTTATTATGTTATTTTATCTGTTCTGGATATTATGCATAATTTTAACGAAAATAACGTTTTGACGGACAAGATCTATGCGGAGATTGTTGCTCCACACCTCGACGAATAGAGAAACTAGCTAATCAGAGGTTCTCCCTTTCAAGGCTCGATTGTTGTGTGTTGGCTTGAAGGAGTTAATTGAGTAGCAGTGTTGCCAGTGTTGGCGATTACACGCCAGATTTGGCGATATCCACAAAACACTGGCGTAACGGCGACTATTTATGAAAGGCGATTTTCTTGGGGATCTAGTTATCTTTTATATAAAAATTTTTTTGATTCATTATTTTCACAGTTGATTTTAATTTATCAATTAACCATATCAACCGGGTATACCATTGCTCGTGAGTCGTGGCCCTAAGCATAGTAAACATAATAGTTGCTTTCTTTTTTACCACCAGTCTTCACTAAACCACAGAAGACGTCTTCTGTGACTAAACTAAGTGGTTTTACGGTTACGAAGATTGTGTCAAAATAAATAATTAATTTTTCGTTTACGCAGTGTAATTGTAAAACAACTTAGGTTAGCTTAAGACTGGTGGTAAAAGGAAAGCAACTAGTACCTACATTATCACGTAACCCAAGCATTTAGTAGTCTCTACGTAGTAGCTACCATCAGTGGAACTTTAAAGGTTTTCACAACTAACGACTGTTACGTAATGGGAACGATCCTTCTACCAAGCCTTAACCAAAATGGTGAATAGTTATTACGTAGCAGTTAATATTCCGGAACTGTCTCTGTTACGTGTAGACAACTAGTTTATTACGTAAACGGAATGTAACCAAGTAATAGAAATGATTATTTTTGTAACAGTTCTCTGTCAGTGGTATGAGAGTAAACTATGTTTTGTTTTCTCTCTTGTTCAAATAGCAAAACACGCATGCGTCATTATTTCAACTTGCTAAAAAGTGAGGTTAACTTTCAAATTGATGTCATTCCCCTTAATATTCCTTGTCCTAAAATAACCTTTAAAATGTAATTTATTCCGTTTTATTTCTCTTGCTCATAATTTCAATTTCGATCACAACTGTAGTGTGACCTTCATAACACTCAAAATTACAACAAAAAAGACATTTTAGGTCAATGAAGAAGGAGAATGACATAATTTTAAATGTTAAACTCACTTTTAGCAAGTTGAAAACTGACGCAATCGTATTTGATGGATCTTGGCTTTTAACGCCTTTTATTCCGCAGACCCATATTATCATACAACATCGTTTGCGTATATTATAAAAAGTATTATGTACAAGTTGTCCCTGATATCAGAAAGTTATGTCCTACCTATGTCTGCCTGTTCATAAAACTACGATTGACCAAGGTGCAAAATATTTATAATTCAAAGAAATACATATACATATTCAGTTTTTATTTCATTTTAGTGTCATAGTCAGACTTTATTTGATAATTTATAAGTAGGTATTAAAAATAATTGATTTCCTTTCAAAAAAAAAAAACTGGGCTCGTGTAGGGATCGAACCTACGACCTCCACTTCATTTATTGAGCGTGGCGCTCTAACCAACTAAGCTAACGAGCCTGTAGTATAATATTTGCTTACAAGTTGATATTTAAGAAGCATAGTGAACGTAAAAAAATTAAATATCCAACCACAGTTATGTTTGAAAGAATACTCTTAATTTTTTCCTTATTATAAGTATGTGAATTTTAAGAGTCCCTATAATCTGAGCTCTGCGAAACACAAGTGCCGTAATTGACAGTGGGCAGTTTGGGAGGAGTTTGGGTGATGTTTATACCTACCATCATCGTAAATAAAATTCATGACGTGTGGTATGTACAGGGTGATTCCTATAACATTCTCACCCCATTTTTTTTTATTTGTCTTTGGAAATAAATTAAAAATGTTTAACGTAACTTGTTGTATTTTTTCCAAGGATTTCGAAAATTTCAAAAAAAAAAAACAATTGAAAGTCAAAAGTGGGAAAACAAAGCAATGTTTTTTTAAATAGTATATTTTTACAATTTTGGAAAAAGATTTAAATTCTTTCCAAAAATATAACGTAATTAACATATATATTTACCTTTATATTTAGTAAAATACCGATGATAACAATGGTAATTGAAATATTTTATAAGAATAAATTAAATTTTATTTAAATTTAACAAAAGAAATAACATCAAATCGAGGAAGTAACATCAAATATCTTAACGAACATATAATATTTATATTAAAAGTAACTGTTCATTATTTTCAACACAGACAGTATATCGTTTATATATATTATTATATTTAAAACTATTTAGAAAACATTCAGTCAACTCAGTGTTAAATTATTTCAGTTATTATCAGCATTTTTAGACCAGTAAAATTAAGGGTTTTTCAAAACGATAATTTCCAACCATTCCCGACCAATACCATTCGATTCAGTATGTTTTTGAATTCTCATGGTCAATTTTGCCGTACGTTATATGAGCAAGAATTTAATTTATAAACAATTAAAGTTGTGAAAATGATGAAAATCGATGTTTCTGAATGTTCAACTTCAAACGCTGCGAAAACGGCAACAGATAGAGAAAAAATGCTCAGAACATTTTTTTATAGAGCGTTAAATTCCCTTAAAAAAAAGTCCACGACGGCATATCTCTACGATGATTAGTTAAGGCGTTACAATGAGTTAAATATTTATTATTTTTCTGCTGTATATCAGTCAGCTGTACAAGTAACGCGCATGCGCGATCAACAGACTCGTACGCCGCGTAATGGCCGCCTGCGCAGAACATTTGAAAGTAGACTTGCTGTAAATCTTTCATAATTTTCTTATTTTTACAACGTTAGCAAATGTATTTATCACTTTTTTGGTCTAGATATAATTATTATATACTTTTATGTATACTCAAAGACCTGGAAAATTATTATTAAGTTATAAGATAAATTATTATTAAGTTATGAGCTGTTCAGTTTGATGCTAATAGTCGTCGCAGTTATAACGCAGTTATACAGTGTACTGGTTGTGAGCAATTTTTACGTTATCATTGTGGTTGTGCTGTTGATTAATATAAAATAAACCGATCAAAAATGTCGCTAGAAGAAAATTGTTTTATATGTGAAGGAACTCTGCAAATGGGCAAGACTGTAACAGTAAAACAAAAGGGAATCGAATCGTTTATAGAAAACAGCAAGAAACGTGAGGGTAAGAAATGGAATCAAATAGAAAATGTCAATGAAGTTACTGTTCATGATAAGTGTAGAAAAGCGTATTCCTCAAAAGATAATTTGAAGCCTGGCTCTGGAATTCCAAAAGAGCGATACCTACGTTGTTTAAGTGTGCCGCAATTTAATTTCGAAGAAAATTGTTTCTTATGTGCAAAAAAGTGGATACGCGTTGCGTATACAGCTGACCAGTACGCAGTAGAAAAATAATAAACATTTAACTCATTGTAACGCCTTAACTATTCATCGTAGAGATATGCCGTCGCGGACTTTTTTTGAAGGAAATTTAACGCTCTATAAAAAATGTTCTGAACAATTTTTCTCTATCTGTTGCCGTTTTCGCAGCGTTTGAAGTTGAACATTCAGAAACATCGATTTTCATCATTTTCACAACTTTAATTCTTTATAAATTAAATTCTTGCTCATATAACGTACGGCAAAATTGACCATATGAATTCAAAAACATACTGAATCGAATGGTATTGGTCGGGAATGGTTGGAAATTATCGCGAAAGTGGGCCTGATTTTTGCTTAATTTGATTGGTCTATTTACTGAATATGGAGGTATGTTATGTTATATTTTTGAAAATTTTTGATATTACTTTATCACATTCTCCATAAATAATAAACAAATTCAAAAAGTCTTCGTGGGTGTAATTTAAACGCAGTGGCATTTTTTGATATAAGATAATCACTGACGTTACTGATTGTTTCTAATCATGGCTAATTTGATAAAATTTTTACTAAAAATTCTTGAATTTCTAAGAAAATCGCAAATATTTCAAAAAATTGTAACTTAAACCCTCACAATGCTTATATCAGAAAAAAAGGAATTTAATTATACATAAGTTGATGTAAAAAAAATACAGGGTGTTCCATTTGACTTAAGCAAGTTTTCGCGGCTTGAAGTTTACAAAATGTAACGTCAAAAATGGAACACTTGGTATACCTTTATTGAATTTCTCTAAAACTGTAGAGCGTAGCTCACCTTATGGTCTTTCTGCATGCCAAAAAGCAAATGAGTATCTTTTACACGAAGAAAGTTATAAAGGTTATTGTAAACCATTACGCCTGTCAAATTTTTTTAAAAATGTCATCTCTGAAACGGCTGTGTTTAGAGATATGGTATCCTACATGTTTTTGACTCAGAACTTTACGCTCTTTTCGAAAACCCTAAAATATATCGGGTTTTCCATTTAAAATGAGCAAGTTGGTGTCGACTTCCGGTATAACCGGAGGTGCCAGATGCTTGTAATTATTTTATTTGGATGGACCACACTGCTATTAGTAATTCTCTAAATTTTCAAAATTTTCTGGTGCATATTTTTCCCTATATCGATCAATGCAGTTTCTGGTGAGACACCCTGTATACCTTCAACGCTGATTTTGCAATTTTTTGCTGTGAAAACTCTTCCTTTACATGTTTCCACGTCGCGGACGCCTCTGAGTACATGCAGGTATTCGCCTTATTTTACGGCTTTTCCTTGCATCGCACACAATTAAAAAAGTTCTTTGAAAAAATCCCGACATATTTGCGTCGATGTGTAGAACCTTCTTGAAGATGAAAACAAATTTTTTTCAATGTATAAACAAGAGAGACCACATGTCATGCACTATCATAGTTGCTGCAAAGAGCAACGCAATGTGAACAATGTCCGCTTGGAGGTATGCCACCAGTCGGCATATACGGGCTCTGTTAAATAACGACCGATGCCTGTGCACACACAAATTGCCTATAATAAGTTCCAGTAAAAGCTGTACCTATTCAGTTGATGTATGGTCATCCTGCCTTGTATCAACGTCAACACTTTCTATCCTAGACATTAACAAACAATTAGATATATTTTGAAGTGCTATTGACCGGTTTTGATCTATTATTCCATACTTCTTTTTTTAATTTAGTTTAAAAATTTTGAAGATTTGGAGATTTGTGGATGGAAAAAACGGATGTAAGAAAAATTGGTCCTCAAGCATTGCCGATTGATATTTACCCTATAATCACAATATATGTAAAGGAGTTAAAAATAGAAACAGGACATTTTGAAATTGCTTTTCAGAAAAAAATTAGAGAGTGAAATTGTGCAAATTAGAAGAAAAATCATTGGAGTCCTATTTACAGGAAATTATCTTGTCTTGTAGTGGTTATTCTCTTTCGTCCACCATGACGTTAATATATTCCCCTATCAATTTTAAAGCGAGTTGTTGCCTTCTGTACGAAACTCAGTCTCTAACACATTTCAACCATTTCCCATTAGAGTTTGGCGTAGTGGCGGTTCGTGGGTCATGAGATAGGGAGGTCAATTAGAAAAGTTTACTGTATTACCTACCTTTTAAAGTGATTTAAATTCCAAGTCGATCCTCCGGTCTTTTTGAGATGCAAAGTGGTCAATTACTTTTTCATTAAAGTCTTTTATCTTCTTTATTAATGCCCTTTCTACGGTAAGCATAGCTAAAGAAGATAACCTTTCCTGACCCATGGTATTTCTTAAAAATATCTTTATTCTTTTTAAGGTGGAAAAACAACGTTCACTTTCGACGGTAGTCATAGGGAGAGTACACAAGATTTTTAACAGTTTGACACTTTCAGAAAAAGTATTGCACAAATTATTGTTAATAAAAAGCTGTAAAAGCAACTGCACCTTCACTATTGGAAAAATCGTCTCGGCTATATAATACTTCTAATTCAGTTTTAAGTTTCAAATGATTTATGACTGGATACTCCGTTTTAACTAATTTAAACATATCTTGAGGAAAGCTTTTTTTATAATCTTTAAATCGATCTGCGTGAAATAACTGAGACACTGCTAAATGATTACTGAAGCCAAACCTGTTTTTGATCTCAGATGTAATTATATCACAAACTTCTAATGAAATTCTCCTTTTTGATTCTTCCGTTTTACATCTCTGGGCAGTCTGCATGGATGTCTCCTCCAAATAGTTATTCAAAATTTTATTTCTGATGTCTTCAATTTTACTATTAAAAACGCCAATACACTTATTTACTGTTATGACATCGATATTACATTTTTGTAATTGATTGAACAATATATCACAATGAGGCATAACAAATGAAAAAAATTTAACCAGTAAAGAAAATGTTCATTTTGGAAGTAGTTTTTTTAAACCAATAGCTTGGTTTAGAGTGTTGTTTTCTGATTCATTATCAATGATTTTTTCTAAACAATCTAATAATTCGGTTCCATAGGTATAAACAGTCTTTATACACTTTATATTAAAATTCCAGCGTTCTGAAGCCGCCTTAGGTAATATCACCTTAACAACATTATCTAACAAGGCTGTTCTTTTTGTCGATTTTCCAAAGAATGAAGAAAAGCTATGTAAATTAGCAAAAAAAAAATGTTATGCTT